ATAAAAAGACAAACTCATGTATTTGCTACTGTAAGATTGCTTGTTTGCATAATTTAATTCTTACATCTGCTTCTCCTTTTTTTTTCCTTTGAAAGCAGGCCCTCCTGGCTGAGAACAAACAGCAGGCAATCACGAGGCGTTCACTGGGGTCCTTTAGTGAGAATCTGGGCTCAGACAGGACCTTGCTGCCTTCTCCAGTGCTTTAATCACGGCCTGAGCTGCCTGGTGCCATCACCCGGCCTCTCTCTATGTCTTGCTCAGACGTGAAAGAGGCTGCAGCCGAATGTGAGATTTCCATTTGCTGTTAGTCTGTGGCTGTCTTTGAAGTTTATTTCATGAAGCAGCAAGAAGGCAGTTGTTCCCGTGGGATTATATCCTTTGCCGAATATTCCCAGGGTGGCTAGAAGGAGACCATGATGTAAGAAGGGAGCGTTCCCGTCCTTGCTTTTTGCCAGGTACCAAGAGGGCGACCTCTGTGATTCTCCTGATAGAGGCAAGGAAAACTCTTTGTCATGATGAAATCCAACCCCCCAACATGACAGGACACAGCACGAACAGCCAGGCCGTCGTTTTGCTTTCAGATAACCCAAGCATGTGTCTTCATGGCTGATGTTAAAGGTGACCTGCAAATGGGGGTTAACTGCGAACACAGCAAACCTGAAATGGAATGTTTTTTTCCTACTTGTTTTTTTCCATATCGGGTATTTAGGCCAGTCTACCCTGTGAGGTTCTGAACAACTGAGGAATCACTGAAATGCAGGCTTAAAAAAAATGGAGCCCATGAAAGCAGAAAGTATTTTTAGTTAGGATTTTTGAAACCTACAGATACCCATTTGACTTCAATGACTAAATAACGTTTTGAGTCAAGGAAGCCTTTGTCAAGTATTCTGAATCCTTTGGTTTGGTCTTAAATAAGCCCAGAAGCCCCCAAAAATTCTGCAGCAAAGCCAGAGAATATTAGACTCCCTATCATTTGCACTTAGAAGGCAAATAAAGAAAAGATAGAAAACTAGCAAACTACGCTTTATTTGTCATGGAGAAAATAATGGCACACATGCTGTTAATTGAAGATAATCATAAGTCACTAGCTTTATTTGGACAGGACTACGGGGTGCTTCTAACGGCTGAAATGGAGCACGGTGCCTCCTGGTCGACGCTTGGCAGATAAACCAGACCAAGGGCTCCCTAGGGTGTTTGCCGTTCCCCGCGTGCGCCCTGTGATTCCTCTGGGTGGGAAGCCGAGATCTGGTTTCTCTTTCTCCTGGCAAAATGAGCATCCTGGTAGTGGCACCTGGCCTGTGACACGTTTGGGGATGTCACCCTGTGCCACCAGCTGGACTCCTACCTTGAAGGTGCTGCTTCCACCTACCCTCCTTCCGCTGTTTCCTTCATGGGCAGCTTTTAGCTGGACCCGCATCATGTTCTGCTGGGAGCCAGCAGAGCTGGACTGTCACAAAGGTGCTTTGGAGCCCTGAGCTCTGCTCCTTCCCAGCATGTTGTGTCGGCTTCCCTACTTCTGCCTGCCATTAACTGCACTGGGCCCCCGGGTCAAACAACTGGCCCCAAATCTGCAGAACAGCTGACGGTCAGAGCAGCTCCCGCTCAGCGTGTCCCCTCGGAGGGCACGCTCCTGGCCCGCTCCTTTTGAGTGGCTGGACCTGCTTGACCCAATTTGTGGATTTTCGATCACTCCCCTGGGTCACTGATTTTCCACTTGAGATTATTGGTTTGACCCCCAAACTGTGGGTCACTTGGGAGGTGTGATACAGCCCTGTGAACTCTGAACTCATCAGGAGCCAACGAAAACAGAAGGGGAGGGCAGAAGAATTTCATTAGGGCCTCCTCGGAGGTGGCAGCCTCCGCCGAGAGAAAAGGCAAGGTTTGTTTGGCTTTTCAGAAACAAGCGAAGCATCTACAAGGGGCTGCCAAGTAGCAAGTGTTTGCTTTGAGTTGTTATGGTGACTTTTTTTTAAGGAAAAACAATAGCATATACTTACACATCCTGAGCTATCAAGGGAAAGCGGTGCTGCTCGGAGGAGCCCTGCTGTTTCTGTCTGCAGTTGCCACTTCAGAACTGGCCCTGGTGGCCCAGACTTGCTCCTCGTGGTGACAGCATTTCTACAACCAGAGCCCAGCATCTGTAGATGTTTCTTCTGCCTTAAAAAGACTGGCTTTTTGGTGGCTAATCAGGAAGAACGTTGATGGTGGGAAGGGCCCAGCTGTTCCCTCTTTTATTTTGGGACTTGTCAGATGGAGGTTGGTGTTGGAGGCTCCCCAGGCAGCTCCCCAGCTGCAGCCTTTGCCGGGCATTGCTGGTGGATGGGGAGGAGTGAATCACCAGGAAATAACTCAGTTTCAACGTGCATTGCTGGTTTCAGATGGGAAGAAAAGCTTGGTCATTGCTCGTGGGTGGCTGTGCACACCCAGTGCTGGCTGGAGCCACCAGGGAAGTGAGAGGGGCTGGGTGGCATCCCGTGGTAGGGCCACGAGGGTGCCTGTCCCTGGTGACGCTTCCCCCTGCCTCGTCATGCTGGCCCAGCAGCTGCCTCTGGAGCAGAGTTAGGAGCATTTCCCAGCTCTGCTCCTGTGCGAGGCTTCCCGTAATCGCAGCTTAGCTTGCTGCTTGTACTCGTGCCAAAAGCGTCACGAACCTCCTGTCCCCACACGGGGCTGGTGTGAAGTGGGTTCAAGCCTTGTCCCCCTGTGTGGCCTCTCCCACCGGCTGCTCATCCCTCACCCTGAGGACGAGATACACAGCACGGAGCGATGCCATCCATAGGAAAGGGAGAATCGAGGCCTGAGAGGGAACTGCTTGGATATTTCTTATTTTTTTAAGAAAGTTTTCTGCCCTTCCTACAGGTTCCTCCCTGCAGTTTGCCTGTGCTGCCAGGTCCTCGCTGCTGTTACAGAATTAAACCCACCGCTGCTTCACTTACAGTGACACCATCTCCGTGGGTGACCGACCCCGGACGCTGGGGAATGGGCTGTGTGCTGAAGGGGCAGGAGGGGGTGCTCGTGGCCTGGTCCACCTCTCAGCAGTCATTTTGTACCAGTTTGTTACTTAAGAATAATTCGATTTTGCAGTGAGAGCTCTGTCCAGAAGCTGCCGAGCTGTTCGTAATTTCAGGGAATCCTGGAGCAGGTTCCAAGCTCTCAGTAACAGTTCAGCCCCTTTTTAATGGGCTCTCTAAGAATTTGGTTAATTATAGCTGCCCATAATGTTATTCTTTTAAAACCTAATAAGCAGGATCTCGAGCACTATCCTGATGTTAGAAGGTAACTGGTGGAGCTCTGACATTGCTCCTGTTGGTTTGCTGCTTGCCTCGGAGCAGCTCACAGCACTGCAGAAGCCCTTTGCAACTGAAGTTTGCATTTTTGCACTTAGAGGAACTGAGCGCAGTGGGACTGACTAGCAAACGGGCCTCGTCTTCCTTGGTGGCTTGGAAATACACGGGGCGATTTGTTTGCCTGCTGTGGAAATTAGGCTTTGCCGCCACGCGTAGGTGCGTGGGCAGAGATAGCAGTTGTCTCGACAGATGCAGTTAAGAGGCCTTTTAGTATCTCCGAGGGTGGCTTCAGGCCCTTCAGCACTTTGCCTGGACTGTCTCACGAGGAGAGACGTCGGAGAGAAAATAAGTAAATAAATAAAAAATCCAGGAGTGCCTGTCTTCTATAACGTTCTGTTTTTAAAGCAAAAAGTCTCCAGGGAGCTTAGGGTCCTAAAAGTCCAAGGCCTGGAATTCTTCCTTTTGCTCTTTCCATTTTAAACAGGAAACATTTGCACTAAGTTATTCCAGGGGGAGAGCTGTAGGTTCATGTCAAGGCAGATAATGTTTGTTCATTGCCTATGTCCATGATTTACCCCATGGGCTTATGCGAGTGCAGCAGAAAACCACATGTTTTGTTTTACCTTGTGCAAAACAAGTTCCAGTGGAGCCTGGGAGCTCAGATTAAGCGACGGGAAGCAAGCTTGTAAAAACGCCGTGCGAACAAAAGGGAGGCATTGACAAATTGTGAACACCTGATCCGCCTCCCAAGAACCGCGAGCATTTTAATAAATCTATGCAAACTATGTTTAAACTGTTGATGAGTTTAGTCCCAAACCCACAGAGCAGGTGTAATTGATTTATTCTTCCAGCCCCCTGTTTTGGGTCAAAACCCGGCCGTCTTCCTTCGGTTCAAACTCGAGAAGAAGCTTCCTGTGAAGTCAATGGGAGGTTGTGCCCGAAGTGCAAAGACATTTGCAATCAGGCTGGCAAAAACTCCTAATTGAGTTGAACTTTTGTGGATGCTCTGGTGACACGACTGCGAGAACAATTATTTTTGCCATTTCAAGGTATCACAAGTTAAGCTGTACTAGAAAGAAATATCAATCCTTCATTAGAGCAAATCATGGAATTAAGATGCAGAAAGGTACCGAGCGGGCTCCGTGGCACATCCTCAGGGATGACATGCTCACATGTTGCCTTTGCATGGAACGGAGCTTGCGAGATCCATACGGATGCCGGCAACATCAGGCCTTCCAGATCACAGGGGGATTTCTGAGCCCCCCCTTGGCTGCTTGCCCTCAAAGTGCAGGTATCACAGACTGACATCCCTGGTTTTCCTTCCAATTTTTCCAGCCACAGTGTTTGGAAAGTTTTACGGTCTGACATGTTAGGGAGAAAAAACAGCGGGAAGCGCGAATGTTTGTGCACGTAAAGCTTATGGGATCTGCAGGCTCGCAGGCCCGACTCATCTGTTTATGCTCAGGGCAGATAAGGCGCTTTGTTCCCTCGTGGCGGGCGCCGCGCGGGGCCCACCGTGCGCCGGAGCCTCCCTCCGGCGTCCCCGTGCTGCGGAGCGGGCGCCTCGCTGCCCTTCACGAGTTCCTTTGAGCGGCCGGGCCTGTCATGCTTGAGGTGGCCTTTCCTTTCCCAAAGCAAACACGGGGCACAATAAGGTGTCGCCAGCGCAGCAGAGGGCCTTTTCATGTGTTCCATTGTGTTTCTCCCCCTCAGGCGTGGACCTGCAGAGCCGCTGGAATATTTAACGGGCCCGCGGGTGATATACAAAGAGAGAGACCTTCCATACTACCAAGGAGGACAGCCCGTGGGCCACCCGCCGAAGGGGAGCTACGTCCGCGCGGCCGACGCCAGAGGGCCCGAACTGAGGTACCCCCAGTACTACCCAGCGCCGCCCGTCCCCAACCCGCACAAGGGGCCCCTCCGGCAGGACGTGCCGCCTTCCCCTCCCCAGCACCACCGAGCTTACAACGAAACGGGCCGGGCGGGCCACCGCGGCACCAGCCCGGACCAGTACCAGTACCGGCAGCAGGATCCCAGGCAGAAGAACCCCATGACTGCGGCTGTATAGCCACAGACCGGACTCCGAGCGCGGCCTGGCCGGGATCCCGCTGGACGTCTCCCTCGTGGAGCTCTTCCCGAGCGGAGCTGCCCACGGGCCTGGCGCGTGACCTGGCGTCGCTCCTGCTGAGCTGGCCTCAGGGTCGGTGCCGGCCGCGAGGCGGACTCGAGCCACGTGCGGTACAGTGTGAAACTTCCGAGTACGTGAGGTACCAGGCAGTTGGGTACTTTTAATACTTTTTAAAAATAGAAAGTGGCTGCTAGAAATTAAGCGCAACACTTACTCCAGCTCAGGGCTATTCCCTGCATCCAGTTACACCTACGCAGTGATGCCGGCGTGAGGGCAGCAGGGTCGCTGGCCTCCGTCTTCCTCTTCGGCGGTTGCTGCATCTGTCCCGTGGCCTTTGCAGCGTTTCCCTGGGCCAGCCCCACGGCTCGTGTGAAGTTGCTGCTCTCTCCGGTGCCCGCTCGGCTTGTGTGGCCAGGCTGATGCCTGCGGTCCCCAAAAGGGAGCTCGGCCCCCAGCCGGTGCCAAGTGCCAAAGTACTCAGGTCCCTGCAGCCGGGGCGCGAGGGCAGCCGGAGGCGATGGCAAAGGGAAGGCATCGGGAGGGCTCCCGCAGGAGGCTCCGTCCGGCCCAGCAGGGCCGCGGGTGCTGAGGGGTCTCCTCTCCCACCGGGGTTTGCTGTGGGGAAGCCACATGGTCTTGTCACCTAGAGAAATATCTTTTTCAAGGAGTTTCTAAGTGTCCTTAGCTGCTGCCTTTCGGGAGCGTCGCGGGGCAGCTTGGGCCTACACCAGGATTTCCTTGTGGTGCTTTTGACACCCTTGGTGTGCAACGGATTAAATCCCCCGGCATCGCAGCCGACTGGGAAGCCAGCTCTCGCTCCCCTGCGCTCTGCCCTCTTCGCAGGGACGTGGGAGGGAAAGGCCTGCGGAGCGGGGCATTCCCCAGGGAAACGCGGCCCGTCGCACACGTGCTGCATGTGGCCTGGGGCTGCTCCCGCCAACGGTGTCAGGAAGGCCCGCTGAAAGTGAAGCGAAAACAAATGAAAATACTTTCCTTTCCCTGCCTGAAATATAACCCCCAATACATTCGATCCAGCTGTAAAGAAACTCATGCGTTCACGACAGTGGCTTTATCAAGCCAGGCCACAATTAAGAACAGCTCTGACGATGAGCTACTGCCTTTATAAATCACTCCCAAATAACCCTTCAAATGGCACCGCAGCACTGCGAGCAAAACTTAGTTAACAGGATTTGAGAGCCAGGGCCAAGCGAGCGTGGGGTGGAAACGTCTCCGGCGTGATTTATAGCTCCGAGGCCCCGCACGATGGTCTCCCCGTGGCATGAGGGCCCCATGCTGCGCCCACGTCTGCGCCAGCACCACGCGCTCAAGGCCAGTGGAGCGACCGGCGCCATCGCTGCCCTTCATCCTACCCAGGGGGCTACCGAGTGACGCTTTGTCCTCTGGATCAGTGCAGAGCTTCTTCCTTCTTCCAAAATAACCAAGAGGAAGAAGGGATTCAGGTTTATGTATGGGTACATCCAAGAGGGAGGAGCAGCCTGGCCTAGTGGGGCGACCGAGCGCGGGAAGTCTCGCAGAGCCCTCGCTCACCTCTGGCACCCTCGTTCTGGGAGAAAATTGCCATTTGCCGGTGTCAGGTCTGGTAGAGATAACGGTATTTTCAAAAGTATAACGTGTAACTACAGTATATATAGTCAGCTTCTCCACCGCGTAAAATGTATGATTTTAGCACCATATTGTGGAAAAATATGTACCGTGCAGAATTCACGAGGTGCTACAACTGACGGTTGAAAATACACACTTGCAAAATCCAAAAGAGCCGTTAAGTAACAAGTTGTTCTTTTCCCCATATGTCCATATGTTTGGGAAAATTGCGACGCTGCGGGGAGGCCTGCGCGGGGCCGCGGGCTGCGTTTCGGGCCCTGGCACTGGGCCAGCCCTGCCGGGCGCCGGGGCATTGAGGGGGGAAAAGAGCCCGTGGGCTTCCCCGTGAGCGGCCACTAGTGAGCCGCGGTCCGGCCCGCGCGCAGACTCGAGCACTGTGATTACGCTGCGCTGCCGAAGCCTCTGGGCAGCCCCTTGTCCCCGTGAAACCAGTGACTGCAAACGTGACTGTTTGGGGAGGGAAATCCAATGCGCAATTTTAAAGATTGTTTTTTTTCTAGTACCACATCAAAGATGTCAGTCTTTGGTTACATATGGCTATATAAATTTTACCTGGTTTATTTTGCATTAAATAAAGGCTTTAAGACTACATGTGATCACCTATTTTGTGTGTCGAGTCTTTCTCTTCGCCGTACTTGCAAAGACCTCCTCGCCTTTGGATGGGATTTGATCCCAGGAAGTCAGGTGCGATCAAGGCAGATCAGAAGCGGTAAAATGACTTTTATAGAGGGAAAAAAAAAAAAACACAACAGCCCCTCATTGTATCGTGGAAAAAGAACTTGTGAGCCAAATGTCCTCTCACATCTGCCCTGTCCTCAGCTGTAGAGCCGCATTCCCAGCACCAACGGAAAGGAGGAGCGAGCACGAAGCCCCTTCCCGCTCCCCATGGCGATCCTTGCGTCCGAGGCACCGGGCACGGCCGCGGCGCGCTCTGCCCGGAGACTTGGGCCTCCCGAAAGCTTCGCGCGGGTGTTTCACCACAGGGATGCGGGGCTGCAGGGCACGCAGAGATGTAGGCGAGAGCATTGCGTGCAGTGTGGGATGATGTAGTTTCGAAAATAGCATATATTTAAGTGAAAAGTCACTAGAACAGAGAGGAGGGGAAATGTAGCATTTCTGCACTGAAAACTTTGTTCTGCATTGAAGAAACGTAAGAGGAGGGTGGAAAAGTGTACAAGGTTTGCAGCATGAGAGGCAGGCGGCGATGCAGCAGTAGCGCCCTAAAAACCCTCCAAAGCATTTCCCAGCGCGGATCCGGGCACTTGAGCCTCACATGCACAGTCCGTGCGCAGCTCTGGGGCAGCATCGGTGCCTCTTGAAAACACACCGGTTGTTTCTGCAGAGTCGTCCCTGCTCCCTGGACCGAGGCCGTGGCGGGTGAAAAAGCTGCTTTATCCCTGGCCTGGCACAAAAAGCCTCAACCAGCTTCAGGGGCCAAAAGGGTGATTATAGTGTTTAAAGTGGAATTAATTTTTGGACAGTTCCCAAAAAACGTGCCCAACAAACTACCCCAGATCCCTGCAAGGAAGCAGCCCGCCTTGCTTTTCCAGGGGAATATCTGCATCTGAAAGAAAATAATTTATTGGGAAATATGCACGGTGGAGTAAAATTGCAAAATAAGACATTCAATGAGGATGCTATATAAAACCGTGCCCTTTGCCTCCGGCTGGGAATGAATAAAAATTATATAAAGAAGCAATGAACATTCAATGTTTTATATTTAAAATGTGTTTTGTGAGGAAAACAATGTGGCATAGAAAGAGGACTGAAAGGGTCTCCACGATAATGCCGGGAGCAGCGAGATGTTAGCAGCATTGTCAGCTAAGTTTCAAGGTGTAGGTTTTTAATTTTCTCTTATGAATCACAGAAGCAGCCGTGAAAACTGCCATTAAAATTCATACAAGGAAAGTAAACTCGCATTAAAATCTGCCCCATTCTCCTCCCTGCTCTTGTTTAGGAAGCAAAGGCTGCTTCCCTGCCAAAACCTCACCCCATGGCACGATTTAATCTCGAGGCTCTGTTAAATTGGAGTTTTCATACATCACATCCCTCAGTCCAGGGCACACAAAAAAAATAGAAAGCTCCTCTAAGTTGCAGCTGAGGTTTTCAGACCAGCCAGCTATGATTTTAGGAGACTTCACCTGCTGTAATTTGTCTGGGAATGAAGAAAGAATTAAAAGAAAATAGAGGTAATGTGGAGAAAACGGTGTACAAGTAAATAAAAGTGAACAAAGCCTCCCAATCCCCTTCCTCCTATGGTACATATATGTGTATACACCTACGTATTGCTGCTTTTGGTCTCAAAGCTGGTGCTGCCTTTGCTCCTCCGGCCACACGTTCGGCTCCCTCCTACGGGACAAAGGGCCAGCAGTGACGGTGATGGGCGCCCACAAGAAAGGTCAGTAAAAGCAGGGACCCTACGCTGATGTCCACCCAGCCTGGCCAGGGAGTCAGTTACTGCTGCCACAAAACAGTCCTGGCCATGGGGAAAAAACACAAAAAAAAATCCTGACTTGTGCTGTGCCATGAAGACATTTCTTTTCCTTGCCGGATACGGGATTGTAGGAAAAAAATATGGATTATATAATGCTGGTGCAGGGGGCAAATTCAGCCCTCATGCCTCAACAACCTTCATTGCACAGGCAGCTCCCGTCCCTCCCTGTGTCCACCAAAAAGGGACAAATTGAGTTAGGTCCTGCAATAATTCTAATGGAAATGCTAGTGGGATGAGCGGTGGTGCTAAGCCAGCGAATGACCCAGCAATTTCGCCGGCGCTGGCAGCTGATGACCATCTAAACCATGTTCAAGTGATTCTTCCTCTCATTAGCAGCACAGTAACTCATATGCACAAATCCATAGGCTATATTTTTTTAAAACGGGGCTGGAAATAGAAGGAAGCACATGCAGCACGGGAGCATCGCGGCATGCGTTGGCTGTAAATCTGCCTGGAAGTGGCACGATCCTGTTCCCAGTTAAATCAGCGGGAAAGTTGCCACTGACTTCAATGGAAGCAGATCTTTTCTGGCCTTGTTTGAAAGCAGGACTCATGTTTCTCCGCAGGAAAGCTTTTGGGGCTGCGTTTCAGGCCACAGCTCGAGCTCCGGCCAAGGCACCTTGCACGTGTTGAGGAGACGGGGTCCGTCGCTGCTCACCCACCCTGGCACCTCTGCTGGGCTGGCCACCATGTACAAGCACACCCAAAATTTCTACCACCACAAAAGAATTCAGGAATGGGGCAATTAGTACGTATTACTCCAACAGGAGATTTCAAACCAAAAAGCCTCCACAACAGCTTCCCAGCAAGAACCAGGGCAGCTCTTGTAAGGCAGGAAAAACCTAAGAAACGGCAGCTGTAAAATACATTTAAAAACCTTTATTCTTCCCTATCACAGTGTGGCAAAAGAGACTAAATACAGCTTTCCATTTGTTTAACTAAAAGCTGCCATTCCTCAGTCTCTTTGATGCTAATGATACCCCCCGTCGCAAGCGCGCGCGGCGCAGGGAGGCGTCGCATGCGCTGCCAGCGCGGCCCGGAGCGCGGCAGAGTCCGGCGGCGGCAACGGCGGTGCGGGCGGCATGTGGGGAGGGAGGAGCGACGCGCGTGGCGGCC